ATTATTTTCCTATTCAAGTAAGTCATTGAAGTTCTTGGGCTCCTTTATTCTCACACTCATTAAACTTTGACCCTTTTTGAAGTCATAAACTCAACAACAACTTCTTTATCTTATCATCTGCATCCTTTACAAGGACAATCTCTTTGTTTAATATTTCACTATAGGACGACATCAATTCATGCTCTTTTGTATTATAATGTCAAAGATTCCTACTCACTTAGTCTACCTCCTTTACACAGTGAAATGGAACTTAAAGTGTTTTCATAACTCTCCATAGGAATTGATGAATTAGAGTCCAATGCCCTTAAACTAAGTCACCCCTCCTTCTATAAAAATGAGAATGTATAATTTAAACTTATCTAGGCCTACAACATCTTAAACATTTAGGAGGGCATCCATGATCTCAATGTGATCGCCATAATCTATCATTATCATAGGTTCTCATCCCTAGGTTTTTTTAAAGGTCCTTATATATGAGATTACTTTCAACCCTTTGTGTGAAAACACTCTTTCTCAGGGGTATGCATATTGCTCCTGGATACCGAATGCTAAAGAGATGTATATTATTATTCATCTATGAAGAAATTTTTTTCCTTATGTAAGTGGATTATGCATAGATTTACCCTTTAGGGTCCGACGATGGTGCCCAAGTAAAATTTTTATCCGCCTTAACTCCCATCATCTCCTCATTCCATTTCTTGATGGAATTTGATTGCCTATGAATGACAAGTAATATGGCCATCAACAAACTAATTATATTGTAGATTTTCACTAGAGTCTCAAGGTCTGCCTCGTTTCAGAGATGATATATATGCAGTGATGGAGGTTCATAAACTCCATGAGACGATGATGATGGTGGTGGAGGTGCATAAACTCCATTTGAGGACTCCTGATTCACTATATATGTTAATAACCTTACTAGATACAAAAGTTTATCTCCTGGCCTCAATGAGGTTGTTGCTCACATACTCTTCTTCATCATCAGATTCACACTGAATAAAAATGTAGAAACATTAGAGGACGATCCCCACATATTGGGCCAAATGATCCATAATGGACATTTCCTCATATATTGCGGGTGAATGAAGATCTAGAGATGATTTCTAGAGTGGCCTTCTTACTTTAGTCTGGTAGTGGAGGTGCTTTTGCAAACACTACGATGCTTAAATAAGTGACGACTATAAATGTGAGGTTTTAGGTTATAAATGTGTGTACCTAAGACTAATTCATCGTATGCCTTTTATAGTAAGGTCTTATGATTTTCAAGGACCTAAAGCCTTTTGTTTACTAAAACTGTCATGGACAACAAATTCCCAAAGTTCCCTTAAAGTATGATTTGACATATTCTATGGTCCAATCAACCACGGATAATTGTACTTTTAAGGAAAATATATCTTAAGTTATCGTGATACTAGAATACTCTTCATGAACAATTTCTCTAAATGAAATACGTTAGTGGATGCTTGGTTGGCCTTGATGCAATGTGATGCTAAGGGAATAACTATTCCATAGACCTAATAAATTTGATTGGTTCATCAAGTAAGTATGTTAAGAAAACACGTCTTAAGACCGTTGATTGCATCTGAAAGCCTTAGTAGTTGGGATGCTACCATGTACAAGTGTTGTTTGAAGATATGTAGATTGAGATTTGGCTCAGATCAAAATAATTTTTGTGTGTGCATAATTCTCACAATACAAGTTCTAACAACTTATTTTTTATTTGTATATAACATACCTATAAATCTTGCCTATGTGAGATTTTCTATACATAGCCAGTCCTAAGCCAAGATAAAAGGAAAGGATTGTGTTAGGCAGTCGACAAACAACGTAAAACATTGTCGAATATCTATGACATGGGTCAACTAAAAATAGTCTGCATTATAAGTCATTTATTAAAATAAGCACATTGTATGGCTTAAGTACAATGTCAAAAGATCAAGGTTCGCCGTATTGCCATCTGGATGCAGTAAAAAATAAGAAAGGGTTCCCATTTTTCGTAAACTGGTGTAGGTAAAGAAGTTAGTTCATGAACGTAGTATTAGTTTTGGATCATGGAATACACGAATGCTTACTAGAAAATTTATGTAAATAGTGGATACTAAGGTTAGAAGGAAGATAAATTTTATGTACCTATAAGTAACTAAGTGGAAAAATAAAAAAGCGAAAGAATTAGACAACTCATGATTTAAACTTTGGTGCACCGAGAAAGTTAGATCAAAAAACGGGGTGAAGATTATTGTGGAAAAGGAGTGGAACATGTTAAAATATAGGAGATCGAATCATAGCCTTGAAATTTATAGTGAAACAAGACACCTTTAACGTCATTAGAGCTTACCTAGGTTGGGTTAGCATAACACCTTAAGGTAAAATTTTGGAAGGATTTAAAAGGTTTACTTCAAGATATACTCCAATGAGATAAGCTTTTTCTAGGAGGATATCTAAATGGTCATGTAGGAAACGTAGCAAGAGGTTTTGAGAGTGTGCGTGAGGGATATGATCTAGGGAAGGTGAATATGGAGGATAAATCTATCTTAGAGTTTTTACCGGCTATGGATCTTACTATAGCTAGTACCGGTTTTATGAAAAGAGATGAACATCTTATCACATATAAAAGTGGGGTGACATGTTCTCAAATATATTTCTTTCTTAGTAGGAAGTCAAATAGGAAGATTTGCTTGGGCTGTAAAGTTATTTCAAGAGAGAGTTTGTCTATCCTACATAGAGTATTTGTTATGGATGTAAGAATAAATGAGAGAGAAAAGAGAAGAAGTCACATGGGGGAACCACATATCAAGTGGTGGCATTTTAAGAGTGAGAAACAAGAAAGTTTCCAACACAAGATTTTGGAGGAAGGGTTTGGAAAACCACAAGGAACTGCAAACAATATGTGAAATAAGATGGCCTAAGTGATTATAAAAGTGGCTAAAAAGACGTTGCGAGAACCAAGATGTTTTGGACCTAGGGGTAAAGAATTGTGGTGGTGGAATTAAGGTGTTCAGAGTAAAGTTAGAGTAAAAGTAATTATTTTAAAGAATGATCTAGGTGTAAAAATGCTGAATGTTGGGAAGCGTATAAGAAAGATAAGAATAAGACCAAGAAAGCAGAGAGTGAAGCAAGAACCTAAAATTTTGACAGATTATACCAAACTTTAGGAATCAAGAAGGGAGAAAAATTTATATATAGGCTTGCTAAGGGGGGAGAAAGAAAGATAAGAGATTTGAATCAAGGGAAGAGTGTCAAAGATGAAGAAGGCAAAATTTTGGTTTAGGATAAAGATATAAATGATAGGTGGAAGACATGATTCTATAATATATTTAATGAAGGATATGATATCTTACCAGACTCTAGCAGACACAACATTAGAGAAGAGGACCAAACCTAGAATTACTACCGTCAGATTCAAAAATACTAGGAGAGACAAACGACTTCCCCATTACAATAAGTTTACTTCAAGGTTTAACCCGAAGCTCTTACCTTTTTACCTTAATTTTGAATGTACTCATGAAAAACATCCAAGAGCTAGATCTGAGTTGCATGTTTTTTGCAGATGATATAGACCAACTTAGAGAGTTGAAGGAGGATTTAAATGATAGTTTGAAGATGAGCTTTACAAACACATGATTTTCTCCTAAGTAGAATTAAGACGAAGTATATTGAATGTAAGTTTAACAAAAGAATATGTGTTTCTAACCTAGAAGGAGATGTAGACCATCGAATTAAAGTTGGACAGATGAAAGGTAGGAGGACTTTTGCGGTTTTATGTGGTGCAAATGCACCACTCTAGCTGAAGGAAAAATTTTATCGGATTGCGGTAAGACCTGAAATATTGTACGAGACAAAATGTTGTGCGCTTAAGAATCAACACGATACTTAAGTAAGTGTAGCAAACATGAGGATGCTGTATTGGATGTGTGGTAAGACTAGAAAAGATAGGATTAGAAATGGAAATATTAAAGAGAGTGTTGGGGTAACACCTATAATAGAGAAGATGATGGAAAATAGACTTAGGTGGTTTGAGCATGTTGAGAGAAAACCTGTAGATTATGGGTTAAGGAGAATATATTAGATGGAGAGAAGTCAAACAACTAAAGGAAGATGAAGACCTAGAAAGACTATAAGTGAAGTTATTAAGAAAGATCTCGAGATTAACGATTTGGATAGAAGTATGATTCTGGACAGAACATTATGGCGAAAGTTGATCCATGTAGCCGATCCCACTTAGTGGGATAAGACTTGGTTGTTGTTGTAATAAGATACCTGCAATTAAGGGCTTACTTGTAAACACTTCGACGGTAAAATTAGTAGAGATCATAATCGTGAAGTTTATGATTTTAGAATAGTGTGTACCTGAATATGAGTCTTTTATTAAACGTTATTGTTAAGAGTCAAGCCGATTTGTAGGGTTGAGTTAGGTCTAACCCACACATTCTAAGATGATATCAGAACCCGGTTTAAGATCCGTTGAACTATTCTGCTATTAGGCCACCCACCATTTAGTTCTACACTCTAGATATTTACCCTGGACATGAGAGAGGTTGTTAAGAGTCAAACCGATTTATAGGATCGGATTAAGCCTAACTCACATATTCTAAGAGTTATAATTAAGATTTAAGATTTAAAGGTCCTCGAACTTTCTCTAGAACAACTGTCTGTAGGACAGGTGTGAGGAGATAATGTGAATCTCTCCATTTAACAGATTATAAAGGAGCGTTCAGTTAGGATCCTATGTGCCTTTAGGGCGTGTCACTTCTTGGTCTTCCTCACCTTCTCTGATTTGGACTGGCGTCTCTAAGATGAATTGTGTCTTGACCTAGTCCGGAACAATACTCATATACTCATATATAGTTATTGTTTTTCAATCTACATAAATTTGTTATTTGCCTGCACCATTATTATTTTATTACTCAAAGTGATCAATGTATGTTTTTCTATTCTTTGTTCAAACAACTGATAGATTACTTGTTGTGATAGCTTTCAGAAATTTCAATATCTGCTGAAAAATGAACCAACAGAATCAAGGAGCTGGCGTTCCATCAAATGTTCCAATGAAACGAAAACGTGGCCGACCACGAAAAGAAGAGAATGTAATTCATGGAGTGCATAAACCTGAGAATGTGCTGAACTTCAATCAACCAGCCGGCATAATGAATAATCCCGACTGTGGAATGTTAGGGAAGATGGTCACTGGTGTCATCGAAGCAGCTTTCAATGATGGATATCTTGTTAATGTTAAGGTGGCAGATTCTGATTCTTTTTTGAGAGGCGTAGTGTTTCTTCCAGGCCAATTTACTCCAGTTACCGCAGAAAATGATGTGGCCCCTCATGTTCAAATGATCCAAAGAAAAGAGTTTCCAATTCCAATGTCAATGCCAATGCCAATGCCAATGCCAATGCCAAACCCTCAGACTAATGAAGTACACGTTACTCTTCCCACATTGCAACCTATTCAGCCACAAATACCGGCGCATTTTCCTGGGGTGCACGTTCTACCACCGACCGAGGTTCATTCTAACATCTCAGTTCCAGAGGCTGAGCAAGTGAATCAGTGTAACTCTCTAAAACCTGAGATGGAATGTGAAAAAACGGTTGAACTTGATGCATCCACACAGGTAGAAGAATCCAGTGCTGATCCACGGCCTGCATCTGAAACCATGAACCTGTTTCCAACAATTGGAAACACTAATAACGAGCTAAGAAATGAACAACAAGTGTTTCCTTCTGAGAATCATTTGAGTGAGTTGGTTCATAACGAGCCAAATAATTCAAATATTGAACTCAACTTGGTTCCTGTATCTGCTGAACCCGAATCCATGCCATCTGAACATAATAACAAATCTGTTGAAATTTTTGGGGAGAAGCAGACCTTGCCAGAAACAGATTTACAAGAAGATGCAAATACAAAGCCTGTTTCGATTGATACTTTGAGCAACGTCGATAACATCTCAGACTCAAATGGAAAACCAAGTTCTGGTATTGCTAATATTCTTGAACTGGTACCAAATCATGCAGTTGAGACCCACCAACCTGAATCCATGCAATTTGAGCAGATTGGTCAGTCTGATCCTTCTGACATCAAGCTTTCATCTGAAGGATGTAACTTCATGGAGAAAAATGATCCTCAAAACTTCAGTTCTCATGGCGACGTCAATAAGGTTGATTTCGAGCATCCTATAGCTGAATCTTTAGTTGATGCAGTGCCTTCTGAAAACCAGATTGGAGCAGGCACTTGAAAATCAGTTTACATTTAAACCTCATCGGCGACTTGGAATCTGATCTGATCTTTATCTAGTGACTGCGCTTTATTTTACTGCAGAAAATTCATGTCCAAAATAAACCAGTTTAGTATTCTTTTGATTTGGTGTTATTGAATAAAAGAGTTCTCTCTCTGCACATTGCATGGTAAATTCTAACCATGATTGGTTTAACTTTTTTCATGGGTTATATGGAGAGGTAGTAACTAGTTACTGCTACAATTATGACTATTACAGTTTATTATATTGAATTATACTTTTGCATGATAGTGCTTCTCAGTTCCCTCAATTATAATCAACAAAAAGCTAAAGTCTAAGTGTGAAGGAATGACACAATGCTTTTTGCAGCTAAAGTCTTGAGTTTGTGCAAGTATTTTAAGCCAAAAAACATGTTGTAGAAGGTAAAGTATATACTCAAAGCAGTTGATGTCATAAGAGGAAGATTATAGTTTCATATCCTAGTTGACAGATGATCTTACTAATTAATGAAGTTGTCATAGTTTTCTGGGTTTGTCGGCTTGATTTCAATTCCGATTAAGGGATACTAAAGTATACGGCACTCTGTTTGTTAAAGAAAATTGTGTGTTTGGAATTAGGTACAAGACTCGATAACATGTTCAAGGTCTTAAGGATAATATGCAGGAATCCTCCTAGAAACCTTGTGTCTACGGGCGATTCCCTTCTAGGTATATATTAGAACCCTCGGGAGAATCTTGCGCCTGTTAGTTGGTTAATTCTTGTTATGTGGTTATTTGGTCTTTTAGCATATTTTGGGTTTGGGCATCTTGCCTATATATAGGGTCACTATTTGTAATCGAAGTAACAACAATAATAACTGAATTTAGTTCAGAGTTAGTTACACTTAACTAACTCAACTCTCTCTCTCTCTCTCTCTCTCTCTCTCTCTCTCTCTCTCTCTCTCTCTCTCTCTCTCTCTCTCTCTCTCTCTCTCTCTCTCTCTCTCTCTCTCTCTCTCTCTCTCTCTCTCTCTCTCTCTCTCTCTCTCTCTCTCTCTCTCTCTCTCTCTCTCTCTTCTTCTTCTTCTTCTTCGTTTACTTCTTCTTCTTCTTCTTCTTCTTCTTCTTGTTTTACACAATATTCATCTTTCTTGAATCTTTTGTTCCAACAAATTGGTATCAAGAGCTTGTTTGCGATTCAGAGAGAATCTAATGACAAACGGATCAATAACATCAACACAGTTTCCTGCAAATCTACCGGTTTTCAAAAGTGAATACTATCAACGATGGGTGGCACAAATGAAGGTTATTTTCAGATTTCAAGATGTTGTAGAAATCTTGAATGATAGAATTTCATAACTGAAAGTAAATGCAATGGAAGCCTAGAAAGCTGCGCACAAAAATCAGAGGAAGAAAGATGACAAGACGTTGTTCTTGATTTACCAGTGTATGGATTGTGATGTATTTGAGAAGTTAATTGAAGAAGAAACAACAAAAGGAGCTTGGGAAAAGCTGAAATCCTTGTATGGTGGAGATGAGAAACTGAAGAAGGTGAAGTTACAGACTTTGAGGAAGCAGTATGAGATGCTTCAGATGAAAGAGGATGTATCTGTTTCTACATATTTCTCAAGAGTTGTAGCGCTAACAAACCAGATGAAGGCGTGTGGTGAAGTGCTAACGGATCTGCAGAAGATAGAAAAGGTATTGAGATCTTTAATTGCAGACTTTGATTACTTTGTTGTAACAATCGAAGAGACCAAGAATCTATCTGAGATGAAGTTGGAAGAATTTCAAGCTTCATTGGAGGCTCACGAAATGAGGTTGCAGCAGAGAAACTCAGAAAGAGAGAAGACAGTTGAACAAGCATTGCAATCAAGATTCAGCAAGAAAGCTGGAAAAGAGAAGTCGAAGCAGCAAAAGAATCTTGTTGGTGATGAGAAGTCAAGCAAGAATACTAATTCGAAAGGTGTGGGCAACAAGTATTCTGGGAACAAAGTTGACACGAAAGAGGTGCAATGTTACAATTGTCAAGGTTTTGGCCACTATGCTAGAGACTGTCGAAGAAAGAAAGCTGTGAAGTCGAAAGATAGTGATGAAGCTCAATATGCATGAGCTGGAAGTAGTGACTCTGATGATGTGTTGTTGCTGGTGAACACTCAGCCGAATACTAAGAAAAACAACATGTGGTGTCTGGATTCAGGATGTAGCAACCACATGATTGGAAATAAAAACTGGTTTACCAAGTTAGATGAGTCAGTCAAAAAAGTGATAAAGTTTGCAGATGGCAGGCATATCAAGTCAGGTGGTAAATGAGATATTTTGATTATCATAAAGGATGGTCGAAAGGATACTACCACTGAAGTTCTATATGTACCTTCGATGACAAGTAACTTGATAAGTTTAGGTTAATTACTTGCAAAAGGCTTCAATATGAAGTTGGAAAATAATCAGATGAAGGTATATAGGGCTGATGGGAGGCTAATAATGAAAGCACCATTGACAGAGAACGAAACGTTCAGGGTTGAACTCAACACATCAGATCACAAATGTCTTGCTTCAACTACAAAAGAAGATAAGAACTGGCTATGGCATCGCAGGTATGGATATCTAAACTTCAAGAGTTTATGTATGCTCAATCAGAAAAGAATGGTGCTAGGGTTGTCGTATGTGAAGGAACCAAAATAGATATGTGAGGAATACTGCAAAGCCAAACAGGCAAGGAAGGCATTCAAATGTGATTTGCCTATAAGATCAAGGAAAAAACTGGAGTTGGTTCATTCAGATGTGTGTGGACTCTTTGAAGTAAAGTCTAATGGAGGTAACAGGTATTTCCTTACTTTCATTGATGAATTCACCAGACATAAGTGGATTTACCTTATTGAGAGGAAGAGTGAGGTATTCACACAGTTCAAGAAGTTCAAGTTGCATGCTGAGAAACAAAGTGGCTGCAAATTGAAGAAGTTAAGAACTGGTGGTGGTGGTGAATATACTTCTGCTGAATTTGCTAGATTTTGTAATGAGAAAGGTATAGAACATGAGGTTGTTGCACTATATATGCCTCATCATAATGGCATAGCTGAGAGAAAGAATAGAAGTGTACTTAACATGATAAGATGTATGTTGAAAGCTAAGGATATGCCTAAGAGATTTTAGACTGAAGCAGCTTCGACAACAGTATACATTCTAAATAGATGCCCAATGAAGAAAATGGTCGAAAAGACACCACATGAGGCTTGGACAGAGTCGAAGCCAAATGTAAGTCATCTTAGAGTTTTTGGATCAATGTGTTTCAGCCACGTACCTGAACAATTGAGAAAGAAGCTGGATGATCAAAGTGAAGTCATGGTGCTCATAGGTTATCATTCGACTGGTGCATACAAATTGTATTCACCAATTGAAGATAAACTAGTGATCAGTAGAGATGTTCTTGTAGACGAAAGCAAAGGGTGGGATTGGAGTCGAAGTTCAGTTCAACAAGAATCAGACACAGTCACAACTGGATTCGAAGAAGATGAAAAGAATGAAGCTTTGACAAGTCAAAATGAACAAGGTGATACTTCGACTGATCGAAATGAAGAACCACCTGTGCAGAATGAAAGAAGATCCACAAGAACAAGAACGGAGTTGACTAGGGTGATTGGATATGAGAGATTTCCAGATCAAGCAATCGATGATGATGGTGACTTAATAGAATAATCCATGATGATGGTTGAAGCAGAACCAATTGACTTGGGTGAAGCCTTGAGCAATTCAAATTGGTGTGAAGCCATGAAAGAAGAACTTAGAGCCATTGAGAAGAACAACACTTGGGAGCTTGTCGAAAGAACCAACAAGAAACCAAATGATGTGAAATGGATCTACAAGGTGAAACGAAGGCCAAATGTGAGATTGCAAAGTACAAGGAAAGACTGGTGGCCAAAGATTTTCTATAACAACCAGGTATTGACTTCGATGAAGTATGTGCGCCTATTGCAAGGATCGAAACAATCAAGATTGTTGTTTCAATAGCTGCATATAGAGGATGGAAAATGCACCAACTTGATGTAAAGTCAACATTTTTGAATGGTCCATTGGAAGAAGAAATCTATGTTACTCAACCACTAGGTTTCAACGTTAAAGGGCAGGAGTCGAAAGTGTACAGATTAAGGAAGGATCTCTATGGCTTGAAGCAACCTCCTAGAGCTTAGAATAAAAGGATAAATAGCTTCCTAATCAAAGCAGGTTTCACAAAGTGTGTATCTGAACATGGAGTGTATGTAAATGATGTCGAAAGTGTCAATTGAATCATTTTATGCCTCTATGTTGATGACTTACTCATTATAGGAGCAGACGGAGCTGAGACAATGAAGGTAAAGTCGAAGTTAATGCAGGAATTTGAAATGTCTGATTTAGGGAATCTCTCCTATTTCCTGGGAATGGAATTCAAAGACGTCGAAGAAGGAGTGTTCTTGCATCAAACGAAGTATGCTCAAGATATATTGAAGAGGTTCAATATGAGCAACTGTAAGGAAGTTGTTATTCCATTAGAGATCGGAGCAAAGCTGAAAAAGGAATTGAAAGATGAGTTTGTAAGTTCGACTCTTTACAAAAAAATCATTGGATCCTTGAGGTATCTTTGCAATACTAGACCAGATATCTGCCAAAGTGTAGGATTTTTGAGCAGATTTATGGAGAAGCTTCAGGAATGTCATCTCATTATAGTAAAGAGGGTGTTGAGATACATCAAGGGAACCATTGATCATGGTGTGCTGTTACCAAAGAAGTCGAAGAACAGTACAGATGTTGAAGTGCAAGGATACAGTAACTCAGATTTCAGTGGAGATCAAGATGAAAAGTATAGTACTAAAGGATATATTTTCATGATCGAAGGAGCTCCAATCTCTTGGAGTTCTAGGAAGAAAAGAATTGTGGCTTTGTCATCATGTCAAGCAGAATATATGGCTGCATCATATGCTGTATGCCAAGCAGCATGAATCGAAATGCTACTTGAAGAGCTCAGAATAATGGAATCGAAGATGAAGCTGTTTGTTGATAATAATTCAGCTATAAACCTTGCAAATCACCCAATGTTTCATGGTCTAAGTAAGTACATTGAACGAAGGTATCATTTTCTAAGAGATCAAGTCAACAAAGGGAAGCTTGAAATAAAACATTGCAAGACAGAAGTGCAACTAGCTGACATATTCACCCTATGAAGAAAGTGAGATTCGAAGAGTTAAAGAAAGGCATTGGAATGAGAAGTCTTAATAACATGAATTAGGGGGTATGATAGTTGGTTAATTCTTGTTATGTGGTTATTTGGGCTTTTAGCATGTTTTAGGCCTGGGCATCTTGCCTATATATAAGGCCATTATTTATAATCAAAGTAACAACAATAATAACTGAATTCAGTTCAGTTAACTAACTCAACTCTTTCTATCTTCTTCTTTTTGTTGTTTTTCACAATATTCATCTTTCTTGAATTCTTTGTTCCAACAGCGCCTACGGCGACTCCTTTCCGTGCATATGCTGGAATCTGGAGAACCTTGTGCCCACATGTGTTTCCCTTCCGGGTATATTCTGGAATGTTTCGGGTAATCTTGCGTCTATAGATTCCCTGAAGGGGGTATGCTGAAACCCTATAGGAAACCTTATGCCTATGGGAAACTCCTATGGGTGACTCCCTTCAGGGTATATGCTAGAACACTCTAGGGAACCATGTGCTTATTGGAAACTCCCTTTGATGTATATGATGGAATCTTTCAGGGAACCTTGCGCCCACGGACGACTCCTTTTGAGGTATATGCTGGAATCATTCAAGTATCCTTGCTTCTACGAGCAAATCCCTTCAGGCTATATGCTGGAACACTTCAAGGTATCCTTGCACATAAAAGCAACTCCCTTCGTGGTACTATCAAACAAATTCACAAATGAGTACATTCATGTAATAAACAAGAACTCGGTAAAATGTTGACTTAACAAAAACAAGTCTTTTAGGCTAAACGAGTAAACAAAAATCACAAGGCACTGACGGGGAGGAGATACAAAAATCATTGAAACTACATGAAACAAAAGGAAATCTAGAAAACCATAATTGCATGGAAGAACCTTGGATGAATTGTCTTGTCATACCCCTACACCATCATTAGTGATTTCTACTAAACTTCAAATTCTGAATGGCACACTCCTCCTTCAAATAATGATATGAGGTCTCAGTATCCCCATACATGATAATTTTGAAATAACCAAGCTCATAAAGGGCGAGCTCTCGATATGAAAAGCGAGACAACTATTTCGCTCTCTCAAAGCGCTTTGCCTATTGATAAGTTCCATGTTTACGTTTAATACATCATCACTTTTATGCTTATTTTACAAGTAATCATAAAAAACCCAATTTATTTATGAAAAATAAAGAAATATCCGTTTGGACTTTTCTTGTATGTATTTATCAAAAATAGGTGAAATGAACTGGAAAACCACAAATCAGAATAAAGAAGATAGGAAAAATCAAACCCTGAAGAATCAAGGACCACCGAGCCCTTTCTTTAGGTGCGCTTGGCGCAATGTAGTTCTAGGTGGCAACACCTGATGCATGTACTTCATGGTGAAATAATGGTTAGCATGTTAGTCGAGAGGGTGGTGCGCTGGGCAAGCAAAGACGGCCAAGGACACATAAAATACATGCAAGCATTGCTTGCTGAAGAATATAACATGCTCGTCAAGGTATTAGATAAGGGTACATTGGACGAGAGGATGGCATGTCCAACGCGAGGCTCAAAATTTTGCCTATAAATAGAAGTTTTCATTTCAGTGCAAAGGGAGTTCCAGTGGATCAGAGGAATAGAAAATTGGATTAGGCTTACTCTAGTCTATTACAGGAGTATAAGAAAGGAAGTATGTAGGTAAAAGCATTGCTCATGTGACAGGGAAGATCTTGTTTCCGAAGTCGACGTCGCTGGAAGGACCAACTGTAACGTTAACCATGTGTAAGTGTAGCTAAAATTTATATTGTTGGAGTTAGATGTAGTCATTATATTCATGTACTAAATAGATCATGACGTTCTATGTAAATATACTCATGTTATAATATTGGTGACTCTTTAATCTTCAGGTTTTCTTTAACTTTGCAACCTAAAACTTATTTTCATGGTGTGATGTGATATCGAAAGGTTCTTGTCATTACTAGATCCAAGATAATCACCTATTGAGTACTAAGGATAGATATATGTATAGGCTCAATATCCACACACATTGTAGCATGATCGGTGAAGAGTCTCGCTCCTTTGTGATTGTTGTAATTTATTTCTTTGCATTGGTTAGTAGTAATGTATATCATTATATTGGGTAATACATTGATCTCACGACGTGGAGACCGAAAGGAGATACAAATGAGGGTAATATGTGGTAGTATTATATGCTGAGTAAAGGAGTAAATTACTAACCTATGGATATGCGTGATAGATACACAATATTAAAATCTATTCCAACAAGCATTTTCACAGTTAACACCAACATCTCAAACTTTACTTTCTGTTATTTATTTTCTTGTCATTTATTAATTTTTTTACATCACAACAAACACAAAACCCTTATCTTTCTTAAGAAAACAACTCAGTACGACACTGTCTTTAAAACCATCAATATATATATAGTCACTAAACTACTAACCTTTAGAAGCATATATATTTTTTCTAGTTTATGCGAGGTAAGTTTCCTACTGAACAACTCTTATTCGATCCCAAAATCGAACGAACCGCGTGCAGAAAACATAGTGAAAAAAAGAAACAAAAAAGCCAATACATAAGACCTAGAAGAGTATTCAGTCAAACAACAAAGAACAATGGCTGATGTAAACAACAACAATGAAAACAACAATGTTGGCACATTCTGTCAACATAGTCCCGGACGTCTTTCTCATTTGGCTAGAACCCAAAGGAATGTCCGACAAAGTGAAATGAAAACCAAATTATTAAAATTTTTGTATGCTTACTCTTTTGTAGGTTTAAAACATGAAGACTCATACACACACCTTAGAAATTCTATGAGATCACTGGTATACTGGAAGCGTTAGAAGATGAGGAAGACGCGACATTTTTATGGTTGTTTCCATACTCACTGATTAGCAAAGAAAATGAGTGGTATCTAGAAAAACATGTTGGTGTAAGCCCTAGAGGCCAATACTTTGGGTACTTGAATTGAATTATTTATTAATAATAAAATACATTTCTTTATTATATTTTATTTTCCAAAATAATAGAGTCCCTAGAATAGTTCGTTTGTTTAATGAAATATTAAGTGTGACTTAATCATGATATCCCATTAAACATAAGAACACTATTCTTAAAATATCTGTAGTCGAGCTTTATTGCAAAGTGGGATAACATTAAAGCATTGAGATTATTATGAAGATAGACTGATGATCACACCTCATGGATCATGGATAAGGAGTTATCAAGTCTTGATATAGGTATGAATATTAGGAGTAATATTTATACTGGGTTGACCCGCTATGAGAATACTACATAGAATGTTATGCAAGGTATCATAAGTTATTCTCATGGTGATAATGGTGTATACCACCCTTCAACTCGAAACCACTATGGACCTTAGATGTGGAGTTAAGTACTTTATTGCTGATCAAACGTTATCTTTAACTGGATGACCATAAAGATAGTTGATGGGTACTTCACAAAGCATGTTGAGGTACATGAGTGACCTAGATGGAATTTGTTCATCCTGTATAAAAGGATAAATTTCTAAGGGCTCAATATTGAACTGGACAAGGGTGACACGATTTATGCCTTGTGTTCAATATAGACATAAGGGCAAAAGGGTAATTGTACACACAACTATTATCACATAAAGGTTTTGTCATATCACATGACATTTTCATGACTTGGGTAATAGTGATGTGTTTCTAGATACCACTCATTGTTTATTATGTTAAATGTGTAATTTAATATAATTGCCAACGTCACGAAAACCTACAGGGTCACACACATAAGGACAAGTTGATAAGAGATAGAGTAAATAAGGAACACCATAAGGTACAGTGCACTTAAGTGAAATATGGAATGTGGTAAGGTACCACACGCTTAAGTGATATGCGGTATATCATAAGGTATGATACTCGTATGCTTAATTGGGCTTTTAGCTTGCAACCTTAATTGGGCTTTTAGCTTGCAGCCTTAATTGGGCTTTTAGCTTGCATCCCACATAAGTGGTTCTATAAATAAAACCCTTGTGTTGAAGCATTTGACTTGATGAAAATTAGGTCTTGATTTCTAGCTGTATATTTTGTCTTATTCTCTCACTCAAAGTTTCCGTTCGTAAGCAGCTAGCACTGTGTCCTGAAGTGGTTTATTCGTGTGGACTGAGTAGAGACGTTTCTATTCATCAACGTTCGTGATCACAACATCAAAGGTCTGAATCATCACAAGAGGTAATAATTTCTATCACTGACCATGCTCATTCATAAGGATCACTAAAGGAAAATTTTAATTTCTGTTGCGTTTTGGATCACAATTTTTCTTCAGTGGTATCAGAGCCACTTACGAAACCATGGATTTGATAGTTGTTTATTTTCTATATGTTCTTTATTAATAGGATTAAAACATGGAATGCATTGAATAATAACCGAGTAAATTAAATTTTGGCATCATGGTGTGTACGGTTTAGGCGAATCAATGTTGACTATGCTTCGGAATCTGACACTAGTATGTTGAAGCAGTGATACATCGGTCGTCCATAAGTTACACTAATATGACCGATCAAATTTATATATGATATAAACAATTTTGGTGCAAATATGGTATATTGGATATACTTTTTCAATTTCTTCCATTCAATCATAGAATGATTGTTATTCTTTTAAAAGATCATTGGTCATTCGCTTCGGAATCTGACGTTAGTATGGTGAAGCAATGGCATATTGATCGATCAGACTGAATTATCAATTGGTTTGTATTTGACGGTATGAAATTATTTGCATTAGGGTTCATGACGGCATAAGGGTTGTGCTGTAAGAAAGTTATGCAGATTAGGATTGTAACAACACAAGAGTTGTGTAGAATCATTGTCTGCTGATCGGGCAGCGGAACCCTCAGCTAACTCTGCGTAGTATGATCAATCACCGAAATTTAATTTGACTTATTTTATTAACAGAATTTAAATTAATAATATTGTTGCCTTGTGGTGATCGGTTATGGCCGCAAATTCCTTTATTTTGTTTTTAGAATTTTAAAATACAATCTGCGTGTCGTGCCTTTCTCTTAATCTCTCTATGTAACTTCTTTTCTCATCTCATTCCCTCGTATGTAAAACAAGTATACTTTTATGTAATGTAATGTAATGTAATTAAGAAAAGTAAGAAGACAAGATTGAAGAAAGACAACATTGGAGATCTATCTTGGAGAAGTTTAGATCATTATTAGGTTAGCTTAGGTTCTCTCATTGGCTTGGGAGAACAATTGCGCTAGGGGCCATAGCTATATCCTTTTATATGTATGCTGATGCATGTGTTTGTATTTTGATGCATGTGAGAGACGATTTGCCTGTTAAGCCGGTAAGATCAAACAAATATCAAATTCCCTCAAAAGGAATATTAAGTTTATGCTTTCCAAGTTTTAGCACTCATCAAGACTAGTATCGAACAATGTAGGTTTCGCCTAACGCGAGGTGCATGTTCTATATTAGTAAGGTGTGATGGGATAAATGTAATATCCAATTGCTAAAACACTGGGTCAAACTTAAGTAAACAAATTATAATAAGATTATACATGTTTAGAAGCAAGAGTTGGGAATGATTCATATGATGGATTATAATAAGGAGTTATTCTCCCAACTGAAAATATTCGAGAATTATATGAGATACAATTGGAAGGATTTCCTACCTAAATAATCTAGTTTTGTGTAATCAGCCTAACGCTGACTTA